CTTAGTTGGAAACCAGAGGTCAAATTGAGCTGTAAATAATTACTTTACATTAATTGATAGGACGGCTGATGCGTTTTTGTTCCTATTTTCCTTGCCAGACGTAAGACGAATCATGTTTCTCACAGAACATTCAGACTCTGAGCTTGTTGTTGATTAAATATAATGCTGAACTAGTTATCAGCTATTCTTAGAACTAGTAAAGTAACGAGTAACAAAGGCCGGTAAAGACTTGTATTCTTTGTAGCTGCACGATCAGCTAGGTTAACTTCCCGGCAACACAACAACAACTTTGGGAGCTCGGAGACTGGACACGCCAGCGTTCTTCTTGCAACTACTGGGCTTGGGTCAACACCTCTCCTGTGTGGCTCTGTCTCCTCCTTTTCCTATTCCTCTCTTCCCTTACCCAGTGCTGGGGTATTTCACAGATAAGGGAATTAATAATAAGGTATCGTGCTACTAGCTAGGTTTGTGAGTTTGATATATAAGTATTGTGTATTATAAGCCAGTGTTTTGGGCATTCCGAAGTATATTGTGTCGTGAGTAGGGTACCACGTGGGGCTTAACTACCCCAGGCTGCTTCAAGCCTTCAAGTTCTTTTCAAGTAGACTTTACCCTAGCTTGTCTCAAATGTAAGCCTTGCATCCTGTCTATGTGGACCAAGGTAGTTAACGTAAGATAGTGTGGTAAAGTAGTTATTGTTATTAATGTATATGGGGGTTATAAGACGGTTAATACATAAGTACTGTTAAAGGAGTATCCATTCTTCCTGTGAAGGGGATCAGTGATCAACTGCTAGACTGACGTATTTACTTTAAGCCACTAATTTAATATTGTTTGATGTTCTTATTGGGGGCCGGGCCTATCTGATCTCCACTGATTTTAGGAACTTCTAGTTTTACCTTAGGCCTTCTAAATACCACCTTCCCATAGCAGTAACTTATTCATAACAAGTACCCATCACCAGGCTGGCTTGACCCTCATGTTCAATACCCATCCTCAGTCTGGCTTGAACCTCATGTACAGTAACACATCCCAGGCTGGCTTGACCCTCATGTACAGTACCCATTCCCAGTATTTCTTGCCTCCCATGTACAGTACCCATCCACAGGTTGGCTTTACCCTATGTTCAGTCCCCATCCCCAGGCTGGCTTCACCCTCACGTACAATATCACATCCTCAGGCTGGCTTAACCCTCATGTACAGCACCCATCCCCAGGCTGGCTTGACCCTCAAGTACAATATCAACATCACTTGGCTGGCGTGATCCTCATGTACAGCACCCATCCCCAGGCTGGCTTGTCCCTCAAGTACAATATCAACATCACATGGCTGGCGTGATCCTCATGTACAGCACCCATCCCCAGGCTGGCTTGACCCTCAAGTACAATATCAACATCACTTGGCTGGCGTGATCCTCATGTACAGTACCACATCCCCAGGCTGGCTTGTCCCTCAAGTACAATATCAACATCACTTGGCTGGCGTGAAACTCATGTACAGTACCACATCCCCAGGCTGGCTTGACCTATATAAACAGTAGTAATATAATGCTGACTTGACCCTCATAAACAGTAACCATCCCCAGGCTTGCTTAACCCATATTTACAGTACCCATCCCAAGACTGGCTTGACCCTTATGTACAGTTCCTGTCCGCAGGATGGCTTGACCCTCATATACAATATCGCATCTCTTGACTGGCTTAATCCTCATGAACAATACACCTCACCAGGTTGACTTCAACCTTGTGTACAGTACCACACCCCCGGGCTGGATTGACTCTAATTTACAGTACCCATCCTCAGGCTAGCTTGACCCCCATGTACAGTTCCACATCCCTCAGGCTGGATTGACCCTCATGTGCAGTACCCAATTCCTTGGGTGGCTTGACACTAATGAGCAATACGACATCCCCAGGTTGACTTGACCCTCATGTACAGTACCACATTCCAAGGCTGGCTTGACCGCCATGTACAGTTGTCATTCCCAGTTCGACTTAACCTTCTTCTACAGTACTCATTCCTAGGCTGGTTGACCCTGTGGGGAAAAATTCTCCAACGTATAATCTGATAAAATAATAAAGTAAATAATTGATTTAAATAAATATTAGTGAAGTGGACAGTAAAAACATGTTATTTGTGTCAAAGTGTTATTTGGATTATTTCCCCTGCACACCTCTTGGAGGGGGGGGGGTAGAACCAATAATGCGGGAACTACCTATTGCATATAAATGTTGAAATAATCTATATAAATATAGATGGAAATGTTAGTTTGTTCAAAATCGCTAATCTCCAAAAGTTCTTCACCTATTGCTTTGAATTTTTCACACAACGTTCCAATCGCATCCGAGCAGGTTTATATATACATACTTTATACATGTCACGTCTGGGACGGTAAAAAACCATGCTTTTTCTGAAAAACTGTGTTTTTTCATGTAAGGGAAATCTTCGAAAATTCTTTACCGATTGCTTTGAAATTATGACACAATGTTGCATTCGAATAGGTGCGTCTTTTTATATATCTGCTTTATACATGCCTCACTTGTGACAGGAAAAAAACATGTTTTTTTTTTTAAACAGCGCCATCTGTTGGACGTAAGAGCAACACACGCTGTAATCTCCGAAAGTTCTTCACCGATTGCTTTGAAATTATGACACAACGTTGCATTCGAATAGGCGCGTCTTTTTATATACCTACTATATAGATGCAACCCTGTGAAGGGCAAAAACATTCGTGTTTGAAAAAACAGCGCCATCTGTTGCACATAATAGCAACATGCACGCTATACTAAATATGTCACGAATTACATTTCAATGTTTCTGATTGAATTGATAAATTATATTTTCATAGATTTCATTTCATTTTATTTTGTACTGAATTATTTTGTGTGACATTTTTTGGAATTGAGCTGTGTTGTTTACCATACCGTTCATTTCGTAAGTATAAGTATAGATGCCACACCTGTGACAGGTAAAACTATGCTTTTCTTGAAAAACAGCGCCATCTGTTGCATGTAAGAGCAAAACACATGCTATACTAGATATGTTACAATTCCATTTCAATGTTTCTGATTACATTGATAAATTGAATTTTCATAGATTTCGATTTATTTTCATTTTGATTTAATTATTTTGTTTGAATAGCTTTGGAATTGAGCTGTGTTGTTTACCAGACTGTACATTTCGTGAGTATAGTTTATTTTCTATATTTTTTCATATTTTCATTTCACGTTTTAACTGTTTTTCTTATATTTATTTTTCTTATATTTTCTTATTTTTCTTAAATATATATTTTTTATATATTTTTCCAATATTTTTCTATTTGTTTCATATATTTTCTATATATTTTTTTCTTATATTTTTCTTATATTTTGATGATGGGAACATCAGATCACTTGATGTTCCCAATTTTCCGATGAGAACATCAGACCATTTGGGAATGCAACGGACGAGGGAGTGGGGAATGGTGGGGAGGACGAGGGGACGGGAGTGGGAGATGGTGGGGACGAGGGGATGGGGGAATAGATAATGGTGGGGAGGACAAAGGGAGAGGGTAGTGGGGTATGGTGGAGTGGGGAATGGGAGGCCGAGGAGACGGATGAGAGGGGAATGGTGGGGAGGACTGGGGGACAGGGAAGATTGCTGTGGCTCAGCAACGCACATGCGTTGCTGAGCCACAGCAAAGCATGGCCGGGTACTGCTAGTTTCATTAATAAATTTGATTAGTTATTCAAGTTATAGAGTTAGTAGACTAACTGCAATATTATAACTAGAAACAATGTCTTAGCTGTCAGCAGATAATGAGGAATGTGTCAGAAAGCCTTCCATAACCAGGATAATCCTGTCTGGGCGTGTTGTCGTGGCAGACACGTGATTCACCAGAAAGGGCGTTCTTCTCTCGTAGATAAACTCACCTCTGTGAAAATTATAGTATGTAATTTCTATATGACCACGAGTATATCCACTAATTTACATTGAAAAGAGTTGACTGATTAGGGGTAACACACTTACTGGTGTTTTTTGATGATCTAGCGACTTAACGATTGGACAACCTATAACACGGAATCATTGCCATAAAACGTGAAAATGGTTTACTCATCCAACCACACGCGGTGTCAACAATGATAGATGAAGCCGCCGGCAAAATCTGGGACCCGGTAATGCTCGGATGATCTGTATAACAGACGATGATCCACATCCTCAGGCTGGTTTGACCCACATATACAGTTCTAATATAATGCTGCCTTGACACTCATTTACAGTACCCATCCCCAGGCTGGCAGGCTCTCATGTTCAGTACTTTTCCCCAGTCTGGCTTGACCCTCATGTACAGTACCCATCCCCAGGCTAGCTTGACCCTCATGTACAGTACCCCATCCCTAGGCTGGCTTGACCCTCATGTACAGTACCCCATCCCCAGGCTAGCTTGACCCTCATGTACAGTACCCATCCCCAGTCTGGCTTGACCCTCATGTACAGTACCCATACCCAGGCTAGCTTGACCATCATGTACAGTACCCATCCCCAGGCTAGCTTGACCCTCATGTACAGTACCCATCCCCAGGCTAGCTTGACCATCATGTACAGTACCCATCCCCAGGCTAGCTTGACCCTCATGTACAGTACCCATCCCCAGTCTAGCTTGACCCTCATGTACAGTACCCATCCCCAGTCTGGCTTGACCCTCATGTACAGTACCCCATCCCCAGGCTAGCTTGACCCTCATGTACAGTACCCCATCCCCAGGCTAGCTTGACCCTCATGTACAGTACCCCATCCCCAGGCTAGCTTGACCCTCATGTACAGTACCCATCCCCAGGCTAGCTTGACCCTCATGTACAGTACCCATCCCCAGGCTAGCTTGACCCTCATGTACAGTACCCCATCCCCAGGCTAGCTTGACCCTCATGTACAGTACTCCATCCCCAGGCTGGCTTGACACTCATGTACAGTACCCCATCCCCAGGCTAGCTTGACCCTCATGTATAGTTCCCCATCCGCAGGCTGGCTTGATCCAACGGTGGAGCCAAGTAGTGTTGGAGGACGCCCGCCAGCGGGACCGAGCCAGGCGTATGGAGGAGGCCAGGAGGAAGAGAAGAAGCAAGGAGGGAAAGATGGAGATGAAGGAAGATGTGAAGGATTGGATGCTAGTGTTGGAGGAGGAGACTTCTGGCGGCCTCCAGCCTCTCTCCCTCACACACCTCCAGGGCCCATAGAAATATGATACATTCGTAGTTAGGTGAAGGAAGGTTAGGTGCAGGTTGCTGAGTTGATGTGTATAAACAAACACTTCCCTACCCAAAATAGCTACACTATTGAACTCAATTCCAAGTTTGTGTGGTGAGACTACAGTGGGGGTCATATAAACAAAACATCACATTTCTAAGAATATCGATACAATATTCAACAAAGATCCATGCAAGTCCAGAATTGGTCATTTATATATATATATATATATATATATATATATATATATATATATATATATATATATATATATATATATATATATATATATATATATATATATATATATACATATGTTGTACCTAGTAGCCAGAACGTCGTACTCGGCCTACTATGCAAGGCACAATTTGCCTAATAGGCCGAGTGATTTCCTTTATTTTCAATAAATTGTTTCCTGTTAGTTTATTGGAATTATTATTATTATATTATATTAAGAACATAATTTATTGACTTAGTTGTGTTAGTTTAGGTTAGGTTAAGATAGGTTAGGTTAGGTTAGGTTTGGTTAGGTTAGGTTAGGTTAGGTTACGTTAGTTTAGGTTAGGTTAAGATAGGTTAGGTTAGGTTAGGTAGGGTTGGTTAGGTTCGGTCATACATCTACATTAGTTTTAACTAAAATGAAAACAAAGTAACTTATGCATAATGAAATGGACGATTTATCATTTCATAAGAAAAAAAATAGAAAAAATATAAACTCAGGAAAACTTGGCCTATTAGGCAAATCGGACCTTGCATAGTAGGCCGAGTACGACGTTCTGGCTACTAGGTACAACAGATATATATATATATATATATATATATATATATATATATATATATATATATATATAGTATATATATTTATATATATATATATATATATATATATAGATATATATAATATATATTAGTATATTTTGGTAGCAGTCTTTCTTGTAAACATATGCTGTTAAATATGACCGAAAAAGTAAGATTAATAATTCTAACACGAATTTTCTCAAGATTTCTTATGTTTCTTTTTACTGTCGATGGTATTGAAAAAATCAATTCTCCAAAATTCATTTTTATTTCTAGTCTGACGCTACGCTTGAACGCGTTTCGAAATAACTTATTACATTTTCAAAGACTTTAGTTTACACACACCACACAACTGTAACCTGAAAACACTAAACAGTTTTACTTATGCTGAACACTTAAACAGCTTGTCTTATATACTCGCATTGGGGTGAGGTATATGTTTTTTTTTTTTTTTTTATACTTAATTTTACTTAATTGTATTTACTTGAATGCTAACATGGAAGAACAGCTTGTCTTATATACTCGCATTTGGGTGAGATTCCATACAAAACTGGGAATAGAGGTTTGTATTCCATACAAAACTGGGAATACAGGTTTGTATTCCATACAAACCTGGGTATGTGAATGGAAATGTTAAGACCTACAAGCCTGGAAAACCCTCTTTGACTAATCGTCAGCCAGATACCCACACCCACATACAGACTGGCGAAGCGACTCAACGGCTTGCTGACTTCTTATGTACCTTGTGCTTTCAGCCTGAAGTCTCTAAAGGAAATTTGTTGACTTACTGCAGGGAACACGGGCCGCAGGGATAAGAGCCTCGTTGGATGTAGAATCACTGTTTACCAACGTACCTGTGGATGAAACAATCGGGATGATAGCGGACAGAGTGTATCGTGATCCGGCCTGTACTCCTCTTGACATGCCAGAAAGCATTCTGAGGAAACTACTCCAAGCCTGCACTAAAGAGGCACCCTTCTTGAGCCCAGGCGGGCACATGTATAAGCAAGTAAATGGGGCCACCATGGGTTCTCCCCTAGGTGTCCTGTTTGCGAACTTGTACATGGGTTCCATCGAGCAGAAGCTCTTAGTTGACATGGACTTGAACCCTGCCATATACTGCAGGTATGTTGACAACATTTTTACACAGGTACCTGATGTCAGACGTCTGCAGGAGCTGAAGGAGGTATTCATGCAGAATTCTGTATTGAGTTTCATTTACGAGATGGAGAAGGATGGGAAGCTGCCCTTTCTAGATGTAACAGTCATGGAAAGAAGCGGAGGTTTCCACACTGCAGTCTACACTAAGGAAACAAACATAGGAATGTGCCTCAATGCCAACAGTGACTGCCCAGACAGGTACAAGAGGAGTGTTGTCAACGCTTACGTCGACCGTGCTCTCAGCCACAGCTCAGGATGGAAGCAAGTCGATGAAGAACTCTGTAGAGTAAGGCAGGTCCTAGTCAACAACTAGGTTTCTAACAACTAATGGTTTCGTTGAAGACATCATAAAAAGGAAGGTGAAACGCCATGCAACCTCTGAAGAGTCAACTAACAAAACACCTGTACACCCTATTAGACTATTTTACAGGAATTTCTTTTCCACAGCTCATAAAACGGAGGAAAGGGTCCTGAAAGATATTGTTAATAGGAACGTTATCCCTACAGACAAAAATCAGAAGATACAATTGTATATATATATATATATATATATATATATATATGCAACAATGATCACAAAAACACTGATCCAAGTATGCAGAATAACCACATATGAAAAATAGAAAATGCTTAACGCGTTTTCGGCTAATTCGCCTACATCAGAGCAAAGTAGAATATATTATATATATATATATATTATATAAATATATATATATATCTATATATATATATATATTATATATATATATATATATATATATGTCGTACCTAGTAGCCAGAACGCACTTCTCAGCCTACTATGCAAGGCCCGATTTGCCTAATAAGCCAAGTTTTCTTGAAATAATATATTTTCTCTAATTTTTTTCTTATGAAATGATAAAGCTACCCATTTCATTATGTATGGGGTCAATTTTTTTTTATTGGGGTTAAAATTAACGTAGATATATGACCGAACCTAACCAACCCTACCTAACCTAACCTAACCTATCTTTATAGGTTAGGTTAGGTTAGGTAGCCAAAAAAGTTAGGTTAGGTTAGGTAGCCAAAAAAGTTAGGTTAGGTTAGGTTAGGTAGGTTAGGTAGTCGAAAAACAATTAATTCATGAAAACTTGGCTTATTAGGCAAATCGGGCCTTGCATAGTAGGCAGAGAAGTGCGTTCTGGCTACTAGGTACGACATATATATATATATATATATATATATATATATATATATATATATATATATATATATATATATATATATATATATATATATATATATATATATATATATACCTCATACTCTCTGACCAAACTAAATTCCAAAAGGTAACGAAGGACACTACAACCGAATTGAAAGCAAAGGTCAACAAATTGATCGAAACTGTGAACGCCAAGAAATCCTGACTCCACCTGCCAAAGATTATCGAGGAATACAAACCTGGATATGCGTATGGAAATGTCAAGACACACAAGCCTGGAAACCCACTTCGCCTAATCATCAGCCAGATACCCACACCCACGTACAGACTGGAGAAACGACTCAACAGCTTGCTGACTCCTTATGTCCCTTGCACCTTCAGCCTGAAGTCTCCAAAGGAATTTGTTGACTTGCTGCGGGGAACACGGGCCACAGGGATAAGAGCCTCGTTGGACGTAGAATCACTGTTTACCAACGTACCTGTGGATGAAACAATCGGGATGATAGTGGACAGAGTGTATCGTGATCCGGCCTGTACTCCTCTTGACATACCAAAAAACATTCTAAGGAAACTACTCCAAGCTTGTACTAAAGAGGCACCCTTCTTGAGCCCGGATGGGCACATATATAAGCAAGTAGATGGGGTCGCCATGGGTTCTCCCCTAGGTGTCCTGTTTGCGAACTTCTACATGGGTACCATCGAACAAAAGGTCTTAGTCGACATGAACTTGAAACTGGCCATATACTGCAGGTATATTGACGACATTTTTACACAGGTACCTGATGTCAGACATCTGCAGGAGCTGAAGGAGGCATTTGAGCGGAATTCTGTGTTGCGTTTCACTTACGAGATGGAGAAGGATGGGAAGCTGCCCTTTCTAGATGTAACAGTCATGGAAAGGAGCGGAGGTTTCCACACTGCAGTCTACACTAAGGAAACAAACATAGGAATGTGCCTCAATGCCAACAGTGACTGCCCAGACAGGTACAAGAGGAGTGTTGTTAATGCTTGTGTTGACCGTGCTTTCAGCCACAGCTCAGGATGGAAGCAAGTCGATGAAGAACTCTGTAGGGTAAGGCAGGTCCTAGTCAACAACGGCTTCTCCAATGGTTTCGTTGAAGGCATCATAAGAAGGAAGGTGAAACGCCATGCAACCTCTGAAGAGACAACTAACACAACACCTGTACCCCCTATTAGACTATTTTACAGGAACTTCTTTTCCACAGCTCATAGAATGGAGGAAAGGGTCCTGAAAGATCTTGTTAATAGAAACGCTATCCCTACAGACAAAAATCAGAAGATACAATTGACGATTTACTATAAAACCAAGAAAACTGCCAACCTACTCATGAGAAACTCTCCAGACACAAAGCTGAACGCTTTGAAAGAGACCAATGTCGTCTATGCCTTCAAATGCCCACCTGGGGACTGTAAGCCTCAAAGAACTCAGTATATAGGCAAGACAACAACATCTCTTTCCAGGCGATTAACGATGCATAAGCAACAGGGCTCCATTAAGGAACATATAATCTCTTCCCACAACCAGACCATCACCAGAGAAGTCTTAACAAAAAACACAGAAATCATCGATAGATACAGCAATAGCAGGCGGCTTGACATCTGCGAGGCACTACACATTAAGAAGTCAACACCAGCAATCAATAACCAATTAATGCACAACTATATTCTACCCTCTTCAAGACTCCGCACCAATATAGAACCATCAAGAAATATGGGCCAATTGGCCCTTTGCATTTACTTACATTCTTCCCCTTTAACTTTACCCAATATTACCCAATATTTCGTGTTCTATCTTGTGTTGAAAGTTTGTTTTCATCTCATCCAAAA